AACTAGAGGGAAGTCCCAAAGATGCCCATTTTAAGTGGCTAGGATAATCTATGCTCTGTAATTTACCCCTATTCCAAACTCCATTCAGAAGCAGGGCTACTGCTGGCTGGACCAGCTTGGGCTTGGCAGCGAGAAAACAAGTCTCTAAAATAAAGTTCAACTTCCACCATCCTTTCTGCCAGTGTAGCTTCCACTGGGTTGCTGGGTCATGCAAACCAGCTAAATCGCGTTTGAATAGAGGTAAGTCTCCCCTTGCCTCATCCCTTTTTCAGGAAACACTCTGGCTTCGGTGAGCCGCAGCTGAGCCAGAATGGAGAACTTATGGCACTGTATCTCTGGATGAGCTGAGACTTCAGCAGCCAGATATTTGCCTATTTCAGTTATTGGGTTTGGATTCCTCCCTTTACTACCATCTAACACTGATATACAACCAGCAATTAGCACTGCACAAAACACAAGCATGATCATTGCTCAGAGGGCCTGTGTTACTGTATAAAAGAGATGTGACAAGAGAGAATGATACATACAGTTAATTGGAGGGTTAACTGTTCAAAGTTGTAGAAAAAGTGAGGCTGGTTGACCAAAGTAAAATGTGTCTTGCTTAAAAGGCCTAGAAACCATATACAGTGGTACCTCTGGTTGCGAATGGGATCCGTTCCGGAGTCCCGTTCGCAACATGAGCAGAACGTCTGTGCATGTGTGTGATGTCATTTTGTGCGTTTGTGCATGCGGCGAAACCCGGAAGCAACCCTTTCCGGTACTTCCGGGTTGCCGTGGGACGTAACCTGAAAAACTGTATCATGAAGCAAACACAAGACGAGGTATGACTGTATCAAAAATGACATTGTCATATTCCTGCATTGCAGGGGGTTGGACTAGATGACCCTTGGGTCCCTTCCAACTCTATGATTCTATGAATATGGATGTAAGCCTCTTTAATATTTTAGTGATTAAACAGTATATAAATTATGTTAAATAAATAAAGGACAGCATATATACTATCTAGGTAAGCAACTGCCTGAGAATATCTGTTCGAGGGGCAACAGCACTTGGTAGGCAACCAGGAATTTTTTTATTTTATTTTATTCACATTTTTCAATACATAGGGAACTGCAATGGTGTGGTATGGTTTTAGGGACAGATACTATAGGGCTAGTACTACATGCTTGCAATCTTCTCAACCTGTATATTTGTATATACACACTTTATTACAGAAGGAATTCTCCCCACTGTGCTCTTGCCACAACAGAAACTGTCCCTGATAACTGGTACCCTGGAATTTTCTCATACTTTGAGAAGTTGTGTGGGAATGCCAAACTGAGGACTGGTCACAGAGCTCCATGCCACTAGGAAGCCTACAGAGGGCTTGGCTAGTTTGCCAGCTTTAGCTCTGTGGCATAAAATAGCCTAACCTGGAACTGGTAACGCGAGGAACCAGTAGAATCCCATCTGGCCTTTTATTACATAAGTGCAAACTCTGGCCAGGCTCCTTATTTGAGAAAGATCAAGCTAGCATAGTCAAAGCTGCCCAGAAACCACTAGTAACACTGCCTAACTTCTACCAAGCCACTGGCTTGACTACTTGCTGGCCTCCATCTTGATAAGTAGATAATGTGCAACATATACAGCGTGAAATCTATGTAACATGTATATACCAATTGTGTCCACTTCATGCATCAAATAGGCTCTTGCCTATAAAATGTCATGACCCTCCTCTGACGGGTTGCATGCCTTCAACCTGAGACTTCACTGGGCTTCCCTTTTCAAGCCATTCCTGGTTCTATGAGACAGTAGGGCGGGGGAAGGTGGGGTCCCTTGCCTGAACCGCCCCTTCTTTCACCACATCCTTTCTACTTTCCTCTGCCTCAGACTACCCTGACTTCCCTTCCTCCCCTGGCTCCTGCCTTGTGGGTGGCATCACACACCATAAATCTCTGGTTCCTTGCCTCTACCACACACTCTTTGGAACCCTGCCAGTCCCTAACTTAAAAGCTCATACCATGATAAATTAGTTTTAAAGGTGCCCTATGATTTGAATCGGTCACAAATATAATAATTATATAAATAAACTTATAATAATAAAGATCACCTTTCATCAAAGTCCAGAGCAGATTACAACACTATAGTACATACAAAACACAAAGCAATCAAAGATAAAACAGGATCCACTTCAGGAAAAGCTGCACTACATATGCCACTCCTACAGTACTGTTCTGAAAAGAATATTTTTTATCTGGTACTGAAAGACAGATAGGGTAGCCAAAGCCAGCCAAAGCTTGAGGGAGATTTCATAACTGGGGTGCTACTGAGAAAGCTCTCCATTGGGTTCCTGACCCATAGTCCTCCACACCTGATAGTATTACTAAGAGGGCCTATCCAGGCAATTTCAAAGAATGGGCAAGTGAGAATAGGAAGAGGAACTCCTTCAGAGTCCTAAATTGCTCAAGGCTTTGTATGTCAAACTATTGTCTTGAATTGGGCCCAGCAGAAAACCAAGTAGTCAGTGCAGAACTTACAAGTATATCACATGGTTCTTTCAAATACATCAGACCCATCAGGACTCTGTAGCAGCTGCATTCATACTAGCTGCAATCTATGAACTACCGGTATTTTCAAGGGCAGCCCCACACAGAATTCATTACAATAGTTTAAATGGAAGGTTACTATGTTACTGGCTCACATTGGCCAGGCTGTCCTCCTGCAAGAAAGCCGGAACTGGCAAGATAACCATAATTAGAAATGGGTACTGCATGCCAAGGTCACTTGGGCCTCCAGAAACAAAGTGGAATTGAGAAGTATTCCCAGACTACATACCTTAAACTTCAGGGGGAGTATCTCCAGAAAAGGCCATATTCCTATTTTCCTGGACCTAGGATCCACCAATCCACAGAATCCCTTTCTTGTTGGGATTCAGCTTCAGCTTTTTGGCTTTCATCCTACCAGTATTACCCCTAGGAACTGAACAAGAACCTGCAGAGTTTCACCTGACTCAAATTATATGGAGAAATGCAGTTGAATGTCATCAACATACTGATGGCACCTCACTCTTCTAAACTCTCTGCAAACTGCTTCCAGCAGCTTCATATGCATGATAAAGAGTATAGGGACAGAATAAACCCTGAGGGTCTCCACAGCATACTTACCAGGAGGCCAGGAAGTCCTCCACTACTACTCTCTGAAAGTAGTCCTATAAGCAGAAGCAGAACCACCTAAACACTGTACCCTTCGCTCCCACACCACAGAGCCAATTCAGGAGAATATCATGGTCAGCTGTATCAAATGTTGCTGAGAGATCCAGGAAAATTAACAAGGTCATACTTCCACTGCCCCTTTCCCAATAAAAGACATCATTTCACTGCCCAAACCAGGCCTGAAATGAAACGGTTCTCAATAATGAGAGCAATACTGTATTATGTCAGTGCTTAAGGAGTTGAACAGAGGTCGATTCCAAAACTTGGAGATCTCTCTAGATCCTGTCTCTGTGCTCCATTCTCTGTCTTCTAGCAGGTACCAAACCTGCAGAAAAGGAAAAAAATAATGCAGCAAATACTGCTGTTCTTATGTGCTATATTCTAGCTCCAAAAGTAAAACAGGTTGCTTAGCCAGTTGCATACAAACACACACACACACACACACACACACACACGTGTCAGTCTGTACATCACCCTGTATAATAATAATTACTATTTATTAAATTTGTATACTGCCCTACACTCGGTCTTAGGGCAGTTCCAAGTTAACACAAAATACACAAAAGTAAAAAAAACCAATAATCCCCCTCCCTCCCCAACACATTTTAAAAGGCCATTGGGTGTCAGTCAATGAAGGTGCCAGGAGAACTTCCCTGGGGAGAGCATTCCACAGACGGGGAGCCACTGCAGAGAAGGCCAGTTCTTGTGTTGTCACCCTCCAAACCTCTTGAGGAGGAGGAACACAAATAAGGGCCTCAGGTGATCTCAGGGTCTGGGTACGTTCATATGGAAAGTGGCGGTCCTTGAGGTATTGCAGGCCTGTGCCATTTAAGGCTTAATAGGTCAAAATCAGCACTTTGAATTGGGCCCGGAAACCAATTTGCAGCCTGTGCAGTCGGACCAGGATCGGTGCAATATGCTCAAACTGTCTTGCTCTGGTGAGCAACCCGGCAGCTGAATTCCGAACCGTCTTCAGAGGCAGCACTATGTACAGTAATTTAACCTTGAGGTTACCAGAGCATAGACAGTAGCTGGGTTATCCCTGTCCAGGTTAAGGGCGCAGCTGAAGGGACAACTGCCGCCTTCGCTAATTCTGTTTATTTTACCTCACTGCGCTTTATTATTCTCATATCGTGAGCTGCCTTCCTGGAGACCTATGCTGAAATAAGTTGGCACAGAATCATAATGTTTGAAGGGACCCCACAGGGGTCATCCAGCCGAACCCCGTGAAAGCAGGCGTATGCACGGGGATTGAACCTCGGTGTTACCAGGGCTAACCGACTACAGTTATAAGGAACTTCGTAAGAAATAAAGGAACAAAAAAGCCTCTTTGTCGTCGGCGCAGCACAAAGGACTGGGCTTTTGAAAACCGCACCGTTGGGAAGGGTTGAAAGACCCCGTGAGGGAAAACCCCTCTCCTTCCGCCGGCCGACGAGATCCTGCCAGGCCCAGAGGCCGCCTAAGGGAAAAGTGACCGTTGGGCGGGGGAGGGGAAGGAGCCCGCCAGCCCGCCAGCCAGTCAGAGTCCTCTTTCCCACCGCGTCTCCCAGCAGCGACAGAACCCCGGCCCCTGATTGGCCCGCCGCCGCGGCGCGCGCGCGCGCGCGACTTTGGGGAGCGCGCGCTCCGGTTGGTCCGGAGCCACGTGCCCTCCCAAATCCGACGAGGGCAAGGCGGGCCTCCTGTTTCCTAGGCTACAGCGGGAAGGCGAAGAGAGCTCGTCACGTGGGAGGAGGGCGGAGGACGAGAAGGGCGGGTGTGTGAGAGAGTGTCTGTGTCTCTCTCTGCGTGTGTGTCATTCAACTTCCCCTGAAAGCGGCGATTGGCGGAGACGGGCGGCTGCCGTGCACGTGACGCGGCGCCCCGGCGCTGCCCGGTTGGTGGTTCCCCTGGTTACGAGGAATGAGGGGGCGGGGCGTCCGCCGCGGCTGGCAGCCGACAGCAGCAACGGGAGCGCCGCCGCCGCATTAGCAGCGGCCCGTGAAGGCGGCGGCCGCGGCGACCGGTAGCGCCGCCCAGGGGCAGCTGCGGCTGCGGCCCACCCGCCTCCTCCCTTCGCGCTCCCGCACAGCCATGGCGGCGCCGGAGGTCGCGGCGGCGGTGGCGGCCGCGGGCGGGTGAGCGCCCGAGGAAGAGGCGGCGTCGGCGGCGTCTGAGGCGGCCGGTGGGCGAGGCGGTTCGGCGGAGCCCGGCCCGGGAAGAGGATGCGCGAGTACAAGGTGGTGGTTCTGGGCTCGGGCGGGGTGGGGAAGTCGGCGCTGACCGTGCAGTTCGTCACCGGCACCTTCATCGAGAAGTACGACCCCACCATCGAGGACTTCTACCGCAAGGAGATCGAGGTGGACGCCTCGCCCTCCGTGCTGGAGATCCTGGACACGGCCGGCACCGAGCAGTTCGCCTCCATGCGGGACCTGTACATCAAGAACGGGCAGGGCTTCATCCTGGTCTACAGCCTCGTCAACCAGCAGAGCTTCCAGGACATCCGCCCCATGCGAGACCAGATCATCCGCGTCAAGAGGTGAGGATGGGGGCGGTGGGGGGGGGAGAGACCCCGCCTTGGCTAGGAGAGACCCCTCGCTTCCCCCCCCAAAAAACCCTCACCCAAATCCCCGTTTTCCTGCCTCCTCTGCGTTTCCCTGTTTCCTCTGCGTTGCTCCCACCTAGTCCTCTTTGCCTGTTGCCCAGCAGTTCTCCTCCTCATCCTCTTCCTCCTCCTCACTGCTCTGCAGGGAGCTCTCTACCATCCTTGGGGATCCCCTTCCAGGACCGGGGACCCTCATCCAGCACCATTTCCTTCTGCCTTATTCCTCCAGATGAGCCTTTCTGCCCTAGTTTAAGGTGTCAAAACCTACCTGCCCTGGCAAAAAAAACCCAAAACCCTACCATCCCTCAGACCAATCCCACACATCCTGACTGGTTCAGCTTCACCCCCTCCCTGCCTGCAGGTAGCGCTCTCTAAATACTGCAGGGAGACTTGCCTACCTCTTAACACCCAAACCTGCATCCCTTGCTCAGTATGTCAACCAATTTCCTGCCCTTTGTGTGCTGCCAGAATGTAATTGCATGCCCAGTTAGTATCCTACACGGCATCCTTCCTTGGGAACCTGGTGAGAAATCTTGTCATTCCTGTTCATCCACATTATATATATATTTTTTTATCCACACGGCGTCTTACTTCAGATCTATCTGTCCTCGGTGCCCTTGCCTTGCCTATCTTTAATTCTGTTCCCATGCACAGAGCTTTCAGTTCTTCATTCCACCCACTTCTGGAGCTCTGTGTTGCATCTCCCAACAGCCTGCACAACTTCTGCAAGTCCAGACTGCAACATTGGCATATGCACCTCCAGCTTTACTTTATCTAGGCTTTCAGCATTCATAAACCATGCTGGTTACCTTGCATGTTCCTTAATACAGCTTCCTCTTTCCTATGTTTTTGTACATGTGTCTACACATCAACTTGAATATAAAGCACACCTCTTATATCCTGTTCTTGTTGCCTAGATTTCTGCTTTATAGAAGCATTCTCTCTGCCTGTATTGTTGCCTATTCACATGTGCATAACAGATGCCCATCCCTCCAACTATACATCAGACAAGTGGTTTGGGATTTCTTACTTTCTACTTCTGAAAGCAACTTAACTGCCTAAAAGCACTAAAAATAATTTTACCTATAGTAAACATTATCTTTCCTTGTAATATTGGAGCCAATGTCCTGATGGGGTGTTCCATCAAATTGGGGTGTTTCCTTGATTCTCTGGTTGTTAATTTACTTTTTTTTTTGCAAGGTTAATAAGATGGCATTAGAGAAAAGCTTTACTCTTTGACTCTTCATACTGAAGCGATTCAGGCAAGATCTTTGACATCCTAATCAGCATGAAAAATATATTTCCAGAAGCTGCATCTCTTCAAAAATTCCTGATAATTATTAGTATTAAGACTGCAGAATTTTTAAATGATAATTGATGTGCCTGTCAGTATCAGCTTATTTCAGTGTCCACACGTCTAGATGGATGCTTTAATCTTCTTTAAAATCAGCCCTAAAACGTTAAGTGCTGAAAAGGTTTTGAAGGTCCAACCTCTTGCATTATGATAGAATCTGCTCATGTCTAAATACTGAAAGATTACCCTCTTAAGCCTCTTTGCTGATATTTCACAGTACTGTACTATGCCCAGTGCGGTTCAAAATGAACAAGAAAGATAACTGTTAAAAAGCAATAAAATACTGCAATAACTTCAAAGTTTGAAACATGGTAACCAAATGCAAACCATATCTTGGCAGTAAAATAAAAAGATACAGGCCTTGCAGTTTACCAAAAGCCCAGCCGTTAAAAATGGTGTTGACAAGCTTATGAATGTATATAAGAGTTGTACCTGGTGGGCCTCCTTGGGGAGCAAATTCTGTAGTGCAACTGTAGAGGTCTTGCTTTTCGGCATCCTCAATTGTGATTTCACATAGACTCTGAATTCTGGAGAAGAGCACCGTGGGGAGGCAGATGATCCACATACTCAGGAGAGTCTAGTACAATTGAGCAGACAAAATGCCTCTGGGGCAAGAAATAAATTGAATGAAACAGCTTGTCTTGTTCAAATGAAGAGCGCGCCATACAGTGGGGAGGCAGTGGCACCTGTATTCTCTGCCCCATATAAAGAATTGCATCTGGTTTAAAGGAGCATATTCCCAAACCCTCAGCATGGTGAGTTTTCCTGCCATCCAAGCCTCCTCACAAGAAAGAGTGTTATTTGCCTCATTTGAAAGTGGGCAGGAACAGACAAGTACAGGGGGCTGGGAAACCATGGTCCTTTTCCCTAGAAGTTATAGCATTTATTATATTAACAGTAGCTTTAGGCACAATATCTAATCTACTTTAACCCATAGCCTTTAAGCATATGATTGTCATATCCAGCATAATGTCTCCCTTAGCAGCTGTAGGATTGGGAGTGCAGAAGAGGAAAACCACAGATATCACAGTATAAAATTCCTTCCTAATCTTAACACACCATTATTAAGGCACATCTGTAAATGTATTTATTTTTACGTAATTGTGGGGTTTTTTGGCCCAGGACTCTGCTAGTGATGCTATCTCTGGAAATCATTAATCTCTCCCAGGATATGTTGTGGAATCTATTCCTTGAGGGAAATAGAATTGTAAGCAATAGTTGTTAACTGTGATTTTTCTACTATTATTGAAATTCCGTTGGTGGCAGTACCAATGGACATAGTTTTTTTCAAACCGCCAAACTGTTCCAATCAGAATAGATGAGCTCTCTTAGTTTATTAAGATGCTATTGCATTTTGTTGTTAATGTGACCAATTGGTGACATTTTATTAATGACTCTTCTGTCCCCTGTCCCAGATCCAGAAATGGGATATATCTTTCCTTAAAGCTTTGTCTTCAACATTCACTAGTAGAAGACATACAACTGGGTTAGTTGTTGTTGTTTTCCCATGGTTAGAAACATTTTTAGATAGCTAGATAAAAGCAAGAACAAGGAAGAACAAAGCAGTTCATGGTGGGGAAAAGATAATCCCTCTATTCCTCTGTTGTTAGGGAAGTGTGCAGAGAAATGATGACCAAATACCTACCAATGTAGCCTGTACTTTACCAGGCTGTGCACCATGCAGAACATCTTTTGCCATCTTCTGAACTCACTTCCTGGTTCTGCTGAAATAAGCCCCACCACCATTTTCCTGGGCACCAGGATCCACCCCCAACTGTGTGTGGTCTACTAATGAGCCAACCACTTGGGAATTACAGAGCTAATCTGTACCACTGTTCTTACCAATAAATTTAATCATAGGCTTTCTGTATTTACATGTGAAATACCAATATAGTTACTGATTTTTCTTTGTGTGTTTTCTTCTGTTTTCTACAAAATGCTACTGACCTTGGGATGAGCAGTGGTTTCAGACCAAGGAAGCTTAAGCCATTTATGCTTCTGGTTAAAATGCTATTCTCACCTGCATGTGTGATACCTGGTTCCTTTTCATTCTGTATTTTTGTCCACGTATATCTGATAAACATTGTAAAGATACATGATCTGTGTTTTTTTTGACAGTTCCACAGTTCCAGTAGAGAACAGAAAGCCATCAATCTGTGGAATTTGTCTGAAATCTTTTGAGGAAATTCTGTGGCTATTTTTTAGCTTAGACTATATGCTATTTTTAAAATATAAATTAGCATCAAGTCTCAAAACTTGATAGGATCTGTCATCCTCAAAGCTAACCAATCATAGTATATGAGGCAGTGTCAGAATCCAGATGACTGATTGCTATTGCAGCTCCCATGTATGCTCATATGCTCCATTCCCCAAATAGGGTGGATATTTTCAAGCAATATCAACTTAAGAACTCCAGTGAGACTAGTCAGAGGTTCTTGTTAGTAGAGCTGAAAAAGCCCTCTGCCCGTGCACCAGGCAAGGCAATTACAAACAGGTTGTGACAGTTTCCAGGTCCTTGGAAAAGTGTATAGAACTTGCTATTTTTGGGGTTGTCTTATTACACTACTTGAAATTTTGAAACACAGGTTGCATCACAACAGAACAACGTGTCTCAATAAAGTGAGCTCTACTAGTTACACAGCGCTTTGTTTGCCACCAACTCTAGCTGCCCTCCATTACTTCCTCACAGATGTCATAACAAGAATAATGGGGTTCCTATCTGGATCTGCCAGTTTGCATGCTTCCTTGGGGGAAGTGTTCCTCTTGCTGGCATGGAGACTTTCCGTGCAATTTGGCAGATACAGAGATCGTATGTGGAATGTCTTCTGCAGCATCCATGTCAGTCTACACGTCTTTTAGCAGTAATCATGCTCAAACTACTGTAATAGAATGAACCACAGGATGGACTTTACTGTAAATCTCAGTGCTGATTTCAGGCTAATTCAAGTAATCATCATTCTATGTTAAGATGTGGATTGAGAAGTGTTTGGTTTTTTTGTTTTCAGGCATGTTATGAAATGATCTTGAGACTATTTTACCATGTGTTTCCACCCAGTGACCATGATATTAGTGTTTTGGAAACACTACGTAATTTTCACACAGTGAAAAATTACGTAACCGTATATCTAGAGGAGAAAGTTCAAGTTATGTACACTCAGTCCACATCCTGCAACCTGAAAAGAGCCAGTGCAACTAAATCTCCAAAACTTTGTGCCTTGACTTTTGCGAAACTTGCAAAAAGATTGTCAGTCTTTGAAATATCACCTTCGATGCCAATTGTAGTAAAAAGTAGACATCTGCTGAACCTGTATCTTGTCCTGCTAAAACTACAGATGTAGCATTGTAGTATCTCCACCTTTCTTGGCAAGATATCCACCCCTGTAGTCTATAATTGACTACTGAAACCGAAGATGGCAAGCCACAGTAACACGGGCAGGAATCTTTTAAAGGAAAAAGCACAACAAATAATTCAGGGCAGAAAATTTAGCCTGGATAGCTCAGATCATAAGAATGCCAAGGTTGCAGGCATTGTTAAGATTGTTTTTGAGCTGACTAGGGATAGCTCAGAGTATGAGACTCT